ATTTGAATAAATAAATTATCTGAAGAAAAATTGGGGGTGAGTATATTTGGTGAATCTACTCTATATAAAAAAATATACTTACCTATACTTACGAAATGGAAAACCATCATCATTTCCAATATTTTACACATACACATAATGTATATCTTCTTCATATTTATATAGTATATAAGCAAGAAGAAATTGATTTATTAACATAACAAAGAATATTATCAACAGCTGGGTCTATAATTTTAGAAATTCAATTCATTAGGGGGTTGAAAAGGAATATTATACTCGAGTGCCAATATGGCAGGTTGTTCAATTGTTTTTAAAAAATGTCCCATATGACTTACTCTCTACTTGAGTACTTGACCGTGTCAAAAATCTACGTTGTTTAATTTGTTGTTCGGATGGAGATGGGTATACATAAACCGTTCTGGTTATGAAGAGTTATTACACTCAACGCTGTATTATATCGTTGCACAGTTTTTAGGGAACAAAGTCGGGTATACAGGTATTATCATATCATTTTTAATCCCACATGCCTTGACTATCGCGTCTTAACCGAAAATGCTTAATGGCGCCACATAATATGCAGGTATGCTTAGTTATATCACTTATATCGTTATATGTAATAGATAATTAATTCATGACGTTATCCCGTTTTACTTCCCCATAGGAATATACAGTTATTCGAACATTCATCATAACTCGCGTACTGTATTATGAACGTCCAATGAGTTTTTTTTAGTGAATAATACAATACAATGTTTTATTATTACAGATTATTCCGGTACACTTAGATAAAACCGAAATTGAAGAATTCTACAACGGATGTTGTAATGGCACGTTTTGGCCCTTATTTCACTCAATGCCCGACCGGGCGAATTTCGTTTCTAGGGACTGGAAGGTAATAATTTATTAACCTTGGTAGTGTACGCTGACAGATGGTAATTTTTTTTCGTTTTTATATGTATCACGTTAGACATACTGTAAAGTAAACGACAAGTTTGCCGATTGTACTCTGGATGCCCTGCGGGGTGCTATAAAAACCCTAGACGATGCTGGAGATCACCACACCGCCCCTCTGGTTTGGATTCATGATTATCAGTTACTGACCACAGCTACCAAAATCCGTCAGGTGTGTGAAGCTGAGAACCTCAGGTGTAAACTGGGATTCTTCTTGCATATACCGTTCCCGTCGTGGGATATTATGAGGCTGTTGCCTTGGGACGATCAAGTTCTCCAGGGAATGTTGGGTAAGTAAACATAATCTATAAAAGTGGTATTCAACCGATGAGTCATGACCCAATTTCGGATATGTGAAAATCAGAATTAGGTCACATTATTTTTTATTAAAAAATATACACCTACTAAAAACTTAGGTAGTACCTATTAAACTCCATACATTTAATAAAACGATTATAATATTTTTATTCCTACCTTCGTTAAAAGTTGATTAGTTTTTTACATAATTAAATATGTAAATTATTATTTAACAATCAACTTTTTTTTAAACCATGGGTCGTAAAAAAGTAAAATATAAATAATAATTGAAATGGATTGCGAGAACAATAATATATTAATATTGAAGACCATATTATTGTGAATTATGATATTTATAGGTAGGTACACATTCAATATATAGATTATAGAATAACCGTCAGTGGTATTCAGTTTACAATTTTCAAACTAAACTTTCAGCAGCTTTCCTTACTATCGATCTCAATATCGACATATTATTGAGGGCTTTAGGGTGTATATAATATACAATATAGTTACAGAGTACCAAAGTTTTAGTCGCTGTTAATTAAGCCCATTTATGTGTATTTTCAATACTTTATAGTTCATAAAATTAAGTGACATAAAACTGAAATTTGCAGACATTCGGTCAAAATGTGTTTCATATGATTTCTAAGGTGGTTCTAATTTCTATATTATGTATTTAAAAAAAACGATATACCCACGCTATACTGCATATATATTTGACATATTTTCATACTTTAATAATATTTATTGATTTTTTTCGATGATCTGGAGTAATATTTATTAGCAAGAATCTGTGGACTGTGATATAAATTTTTTTTCTGTTGATTGAAATAATAATTCGTCAGTTTTGATCGGAATAAAATTTTTTTTTGGTGGTTTGAATAGAATTCGCCAATAAATAGCAGTTATTAGGTTCTACTTTAAGTTGTTATATCTAAATCCAGAACATTTAGTATTTAGTATTCTAACAAAGATTTATTAAAATATTTTTTAAAATTTTATTCAAAAACAATTAACTTTGTTGCATGGTTGCAGTCTTAGAAATTTGAATTTAATATTTTATATATGAGTTTTCATTTAAAATTTAAAATTTTTTATGTATAATAATTAATAAATAATATTATGTTTATAAATTTATGATTTAATAATAATATAATTTATGCAATATATTCAACAGTTATTAGGTGTATTTAATTAACAAGCTCACAGCACTAATAAAAATAGATAGGTATTTGAGTATTTCAATAGTATAAATAATGTTTTGACTTTCGTTTGGGATGAATGTACAAGGTTTTTTTTAATGTACGTAATTATAGGTACGTGATATAGAAATTACGAAGCACACAGCGTACGACGATAACAGTTCGTCTGAATAATATATAATGTTTTTTACGTGGACTATATAATATGTACGTAATTTGGGGTGTTTTAAAATTAAAATTAAATTTTTCTAAGTTTAGACTTTTCCTTTTGTATAGATCCATCTTATATATATATTATCATATTATTGAAGTATCCGCAAAATGTCATTGCTACTAATTTCAAATAATAGTGTGCACTATCACGATAAGGATAATTAATATAAAAAAAGGTGTACCTACATATTATAATAAAACAGCGTATCTACAGACATACTCAATACTTACAACATATTATAAATTATAAATATCATGGCAAATGACAAACTATTTACAGCTTACGATTTCACCGCCTTTCACATCGAGGACTACTGCTTGAACTTCATTGACTGCTGCTGTCGGCGGTTAGGGTGCCGCGTGGACCGGACCAACATGCTGGTGGAGCTGGCCGGACGGACCATTCAAGTGAAGGCGCTGCCGATTGGCATACCATTCGACCGTTTCGTGCAATTGTCGGAGAAGGCGCCGGCGTTCTTAAACCTATCGGATGATGTCAAGGTGATTCTGGGCGTGGACAGGCTGGATTACACCAAGGGTCTGGTGCACCGGATCCTGGCTTTCGAGAAATTCCTGGACAAGTACCCCGAGCACCGGGAGAAAGTAGTGCTGCTGCAAATCTCGGTGCCGTCCAGGACGGACGTTAAGGAGTACAAGCAACTCAAGGACGAGACCGAGCTGCTGATCGGCCGCATCAACGGAAGGTTCTCGATGCCCAACTGGTCACCGATCCGGTACATCTATGGGTGCCTGAGCCAGGAGCAGCTGGCCGCCCTGTACCGAGACTGCGCGGTGGCGTTGGTGACACCTCTCCGGGATGGCATGAACCTGGTTGCCAAGGAATTCGTGGCGTGCCAGATCCGGACGCCGGGCGTGCTGATCCTGTCGCCGTTCGCCGGCGCCGGTGGCACCATGCACGAGGCGCTGCTGGTCAACCCTTACGAGTTGGACGAGATGGCCAACGTGCTTCACCGGGCCCTGCGGATGCCGTTGGACGAGCGCGAACTGCGCATGACACAGCTTAGGCACCGCGAACAGTTGCTGGACGTCAACTACTGGATGACGTCATTTTTCTCATCGATGGGCGCTCTCGGAGACGACGGCGGTGACGGCGATGTGAACAGCGGTATCAGTGGGGGCAGCTTGGCATCCAAGAGCATGCAATTGCAGCTGGACGATTTCGACATGTATCTGAGCAACCACATCGCGGGAGCTGGAAAACTAAGTCTGATCCTGGACTACGACGGCACGCTCACGCACCTCACGTCTCACCCCGACCTAGCCGTCATGTCCGAGGAGACGGTCAAGGTGCTGCAGCGGCTCAGTCGCATGCCGGACGTGAACATTGCCATCATATCGGGCCGAACGTTGGACAACGTCAAGTCGATGGTGGGCATCGAGAACGTGACGTACGCGGGCAGCCACGGTATAGAGATTTTGCACCCGGACGGCACCAACTTTGTGCACCCGGTCCCCAGGCAGTACGAGCAAAAGGTGGCCGAGCTGCAAAAGGCGCTCGCGGACGAGGTGTGCGGCGACGGTGCTTGGGTGGAGAACAAGGGTGTGATGCTGACGTACCACTACCGGGAGGTGCCGGTCGCCCTACGCGAACACCTGGAACGTCGAGCGGTCGAGATATTCGAGGCGGCCGGGTTCGAACCGCACCGTGGGTTCCTGGCTATCGAAGGCAAGCCACCCGTCACGTGGGACCAGGGCCGAGCGTCCATTTACATACTGCGCACCACGTACGGCGTCGACTGGTCTGAGCGGGTGCGCGTCGTGTACGCTGGCAACGAAGACGCCATGCTGGCGCTGCAGGGCATAGCGTGCACTTTCCGCGTCGACCCGTCGCCGATGGTCCAGACGGCCGCCGACTTCCGGTTGTCCGGTCCCGACGCCGTGCTGACCATGCTCAAGTGGGTGGAAAAGGAGATGCACAAACGGCTGCCGACGCTCGGCGGTCGGACGGTCAGCAACAGTCGGGTGCAGAACGCGGCGCTGGCGCACAGCATCCGGTCGCAGATGAGCATCGACCAAAAGGAAGAGGAAAAGGAGAAGATGATCCTGCTGGCTCGGAGGTCTAAACTCACCACCACTTGAGTGACCGGTCGAAAGGACGACTAGCGCTGCACACGCAACACCGCCGAGTTACGACATTAATTAATGTACAAGTACTTGGACGGCATGACTGTGCTTCATATACGCGTTATAATAATATTACCTATACCTGGTGGTTACCTATAAAAAGAATACCATGTTTTGTAATAAGGATCGTTATTTAGATTCTATAGAGTTAGGAATATATGTGTATTTAAATAATTGTTTGACTATTTGTTTTATTTTTTTATATATGTATTGTTTTTATTATAATAAATATGATTAAATTGTTGTTTGTGAATGACATGCCGGTTAAACACGATAATAGTTTAATATTTACAGCTAGATATAGTGATTATGATTTACATGTGAACATTATAAATTATACGATACACATTTGTTGTGCATAATTGTCGACTTAAAAAATTTTAATTCTTCCGGAATTAATATATCTAGCTGCAGTTGATGTTGATTTGAACCGGTTATTGTTGTGCGTTAACGTTCCTCATCGTGTTAACCAAACCCGCTGGAATAGCACCGTGTCCGTACTTTTCGTAGGCCGAGTTCAAAACTTGCAAGATTGGTTTGACGTACTCAATAGATCTAAAAATAAAAATTTATTTCAATTTAAGTACACATTTATTTGTTTTCTTCAAACCAAGTGTAAGTTGGCCTCCGATTTTCAATATTAATTTTTAGTTCAGTGTTATCAATATTTAAATTATGGTTTATTATTGGAGCAAAATTTTTAAAAAGCATTTAAAAGATTTTAAATAACTAGGTAGTGATAATTAATAATCATTTCTGCAGGCGCTTTAGTTATTCGTGCCAAATCAGCCAAATGCACCACGGCCGAGCCCGAGCGTCTTTCCTTTAAAGTTTAATAATTGAATAATGCTCAAATTTAAAGTATACTTTATTCTATAGAATAAACTTTAGAATAAAATATGTCCAATAATGCGTTTTAATGTGTGGGCAAGTTAGAGAATGAAAATTGCTGTTTGGGTGTACAGTAAAGTTTAGTCGATATAGGTTTCTCCATCGAATATAAAATACATAATGTTATTGAATCGCCAAGTGTCGCGATGTCCCGAATTAAAAAAAAAAAAAAACCAGAAAGCTTTGCGAAATCACGCTTGGTGTAAAGTCGTGTTTGAAATAAAGAACCATTGTACGCCGAGCGACAAAGAGTGGGTACTTGTATAGAGAATAATAAAGTATTATAAACGGAAGCGAAGTGCTCACCTCTTGTTGTAAGTCGGTGGGAACGATTGGTACGCGTCTGCGCTGTATCCGGTAGCTGCTGGTGGGACTTCGCAGGTGCTGAATATCTGACAAAGTCTGTATCCGAACAACGGGCTGACAATAGCCGAGATGGCCAGCAACACGACCACTCCGATCACGACCGCTCCGCCCGCCGCTAGAGCTGCTCCATAGCTGTTCGGGATCAATGACCAATTTTCATCTGAAAGAAATTGTTACTTAAAAAGCACCTCTGTCACGGTACTCGCTCGAGCGTGTGTCTCGTGTTATGTGAGTTTCACCCCCCAAATCAGAGATGGAAATTCTAAGTCAATATCATGTGGTATGGTGATTATTGCAATGTTATTTAAGTTCAAGTAATATGATCTGTGTTCGGAACAATGTTTTAGTAAAAAAAACCCCATCGCCCCGTATTGTTAGTATCTAGTATTTACTCTCTCTGTAAAAGTAATTACGCATATTTTGTTTTATACATTTGGCTTAGTTATTGTAGCTGTTCAATACTAATTTAACGGTATCTATTAACAGACACCTAAGTCACGTATTTAAGCGAAATATTTTTGTGATTTATAATTATTTCGAATTTTTCATATTTTATTAAAAGGTACCCGTAGTATAAACGTATTAGCTATAGGTAAGTATACAAATATTTTTTAAAACGAAACTCTGTGAATTTTTAACTTTTCAGAAAATGATTTAATTTGTAGATTTATTTATTTGATTGTAAATCAAAAATATTATAATGTTGAAATATGAACTGTACAGTATTTTAGTTTATAAAAAGGGACAAACGTTACTGAATTTTTTAAGATATTAATAGAAAAATAACCTTTTTCTTGATATTTAATTTTTAATTACGTCATTTAATCAAAATTATGATGATTGATAGTTATTTGAGTCTACTATAATGTTGTTAATATTATACATACTGATTTATTAAAGTCCATTAAAAAAAATATGAATTCAATTATATAATAAACAGTTTTGGTGACGAATCGTTTTATTCTATCGTTTACTCTTTACAGTGTGATCAAACGTAAATCGTCAGAATAAAACATTCACAAGAAAATTAAAACCCTTAAAATATAGATTTATATAAAAAAAGGTATCAAGCCATTGCAAATTTAATAGTCACTGAAACTATGCTTACTATCGTTCGAAATGGTAGCTTTCGTAACAGCCGTAGCACGGTCGATGGCTGCAGAGACTGTTGCCGGGACGCTGTCTTTGGTTTCGTCGGCGAGAGCGTGCAGAGCCAAAGCTGCCAAGACACTGAATACTACGTAGAATTTCATGGTTGTTGAATTTTAGGTTAGGTGACGATTAAGCTGTAAAAAAATAAAATAATATTTTAATCTTACAATTTGATATTTATAACAATCAAATAATATGTGAGTGTAGACAGCAGGCGCAACTACTAGTCAAAACATCAATATTCAAAATAGTGTTCGTTCGGGTTATTAATAATATTATAAAAGATTTAAAGCATAGGCAAATCACAATAACTATTATAAATATGTTTGGCTTTTAAAAAATGAAAATCGTTATGAATTTACGATATAAATACCTTCTATATTTTTATGACCCGATTATTTAGAAGACTAAATTGCTAATAGTTACATTCAATAATACTTTAGGGTAGAACGCGTACGATACCTACCGCAATATTTAGTTATATAAAATAGAAAGAAAAATCAACAAAGTGAAAACTACAGAAAATTTACGATACAATATTAAATATAGAATGTTATACTTTAATTTTCTTAGACCTGTATAAAAACATACACTGAATCCGAGAACGATCGACCGTCGGACAAGTCGAATAGTATTTTTAGTAAAAGCGAGAAAGTCTAATAAATTATTATTGAATAAACTATCATAATATTATTATTGTATTATTGAGACGAATCGAATATCACGATATTATAATAGTTAGAATTCAAATGGTAAAATATATTAAATTAACGTTGTGAAAATGAATGACAATATGCCTAGCGTTTAAACGTAGCTTTAAGTAGGCGTATTGAATTTATCGCTGATACGCAGTTATAATATGTATTACAAGCATGCACAAAGCTAAGACTAATAGAAAAAAAACATGAAATTAAAAACGACGAAAACATTATAACAAGTGGTAGAGAAAAAAAAACGAACAGTTTAAAAAAAAAACGAACGGTATAAAAAAGTGATTTACCTCGAGTATACTTCTGTTACAGCTGTAGTGTCGTCTTCAAAGTCGGGCAACTCAGTGGTGCTCATGGGGTGGCGAAGTAGCCCTTATATACACGTGCTGTCGATGACCGCCGCCGCCCGATGCACACATCTGGGTAGGGTAGTTTACGAAAGAGGTGGTAAGACGAAAAGAACACTTAGGTGGTGGGTAGTATTATTATCTTCGTTGGAATCGTGTACGGCGGCCTGCAGGAGGATTCGCGGCGGCAAATCCATTAGGACACCGTCTCCTCTATGTCGCGGCACAATAATAATTAGATACCCATCGTATTCGTACGATTTTTTTAAGTGGAGCGAGCGAACGGGGAGAAAAAAACAAAACCATGTGATAAGTCGTAGGTACTTGACGCTTGTTTGCGTCGGGCAAATTCGCTTGACGATAGTGTTGTACATGTGCCTAGAATATTGCTAATCGACTGTTTTGTGGGTGTTTAGAGCTTTTAAATTCAGTACTATAATAATCCGATGATGGTAGCCAGTAGGCAATAGGCCAGTAATTAGGTGGGTGGTTACCAGGTATTAGGTAAGTATAATATAATTAATACGATACAATTAAGCAACAATATATATTGTAGGAACTTTTTGTTTCATTATTTGCACAGTTTCACCGCTATAATCCGATTTACTCTGTTGTGTTTAAATTAAAGTATAAATTGATCAATAAAAAATTATTATAATTTTAAAATGTACAAAAAATGTATGTACAGTTGTAAAATATTCATAACTATTACTTCGTCATATTAAAACATCAATCGAAACTTCTGATGTCCCTAGATCATAATGATATTTCCTTTGTAGCGGGATGTCCCGAACGGTTATTATTATTATTATTTTTATTATTATCACGACGGTGTCGGTAACCGCCTACTGCCTAGACATGTAGCGAGAAGTACTCCAGAAATAATTATACGCCTCGATCGTTCGTCAGCGTTTTTTTTTTTTTAAATTGTTAATTGACTATTGTTCATAATACATTGTAAGATTCTTGCACCAGGTGGTCCTGAAAGTGGCAGAGAATGGATTTTATTTATTTATACGCATTACATTTAATACATTAATTGTGATTAGCTACTGACTATACTTGGTTACGTCTAATATTTTAGCGCCCTCCACCTACGCCTTTAAATTTAATTTTTGTCCAGTTCCTCTAATTTTAAAAATAATAGGGTAAAATGGATTATTGTGAATGTAAAATTCGATATGTCGTACCTATATACGTTTGTAAGTGTCCTTTTCGACAATTAACTCGAATTTGATAAATCGTAAATTAAAATTCATAAGCCCGCTTGTGTGCCGTATAGTTTAGTATGAATTACTAATTTTAAAACGTAATGGTTATTGTTGCAAATATTGCATTATTTATTTAGGAATAATAATAATCAATAAAATATATGACACCTTAAGAATACAAATAATAGAAATTCAATTAATTCAGGATAAAATACAAGTTTTATGAATAGTTATGAATATTCGAAGTCTTAAACATTACTAAACTAGATAAGTACTTTTAATTGGCTAATAAAATAGTTAAAGTTTAGACAAACATCTCGGAGGGTTATCCCACCATTCTACTCCGTTTACCTAAACTTAAATACTTTCAAACTTATAATTATAAGTAATTAATTTGAAATTCGATTTTTGTGTATCAAAATTATTATAACAGTAGTATTCTACTTTTGAATATGAAATAAAACATGTATGTTAGCATTAAAATATTATTAAAACAATTATGATGTAAAAAAATGTATTATTTTTAAAAAGGTTGTTTTGCAATATCTCCAAATTATGTAACTAAACATTTTCAAACCGTTAACAGATTTTGATATATATATCGATCAAATAACCTCTGCATATAGTGTTTATTATAGTGTAGTTAAATTTTAAGAGGTGTACTAGATAAACTATATACTCTATATACCCCTATATCACTAAAATAACTTATAAGACGTTTATTTCAATAAAACACTCAAATTCCACACTAATTAATGGCAAAATACAACGATTTTCCAACCTTATAGCGGTGATGAGGGTGTGAAATGTATGTTCATTTATATTACACTTGATTCATTAATTTGATTAGGTAGTTCAATTGTTTATTCATGAATATTTTCTAATAAAACTCTTCTTTTCTCGAGTGGGTAATTAATTACATAAACTAATTATTTTAGTATTATGTGTTGATGGTGAATAGGTGGTACACTATACGTGTTATGGTATGTCTTTTAAATAAACGCATGTAAATGTTACAATGTGACTACAATGCCTTATGCCTGTTTAATTAAATTGAACTGTATTAGCAGAGTAATCTTTTTACAAAAAAAAGTATGAAAAATATTATAACGTGTACTATTAAGAATTCCTTACTAATGCATAAATGCCATTAAGTGCCCATGGAGATGTAACTAAACATTATCGATCATCAGACGTAGGAATAATAACATTTTATAAAATGACTTTACGATCTGAGACGTCGATAGAACGATAGGTTATATATATTATGTATGATGCATTTGACTGGTATCGATTAGGTCTACTTATACGTTTCGGGGTTTTAGTATTATTATTTAGTAAAACCAAAAAAATCCATTTAGATAACCGCTACGAGACGCGAGTCTAGACGATGGCAAATGACGATAGTGAGCACCTACATTGTGGTATATAGACTATACGTGTATACCCGATGCCTATATGGTTATATAGTTATATACTATAATAACACACTATAGAGAGTTAAAAATCCACCCTGTTTTTTACCGCGATTCGCCAATTTTTTGTTTCTAAATAATATTTTTAAGATATTATTTATGACAAAATATAATATTTATTAGTTTATTACTGATGTAAATTAATGTCCAAATGTTTAACTAAAAAAAATTGAAATTATTTGTTTTAAGGTTTCTCCAAAATTTAAGACCCGTATGTTTAGTATGTGGGGGTTTCGTTAAAGAAAATGTTAGAAAAGTTATAAAGCGAATATGGGCTACGGAAGAGGGATATAGGAAATAACACCCATCAGTTTATCACTATATACTCATAAACTGTATGGGTAGATACTCTATTATACAAGATCAGGTTATAGGACTCTTTGCCTCAGTTAAGTTTTTTCATTCGGCATAGCGACAATAGTTTTTTTTACGAATTTATTCTTTTTAAAAACAATTATAATTCAATATTTTAGCTTATCTATGTTGAATAGCCTATAGCAGGGGTCTCCAAACTTTTTTATTCAAGGGCCACAAAAAATATCAAATGCTCTTAGCGGGCCAAAAATGTATTAACACATATAATTTTTAATTTTATGAAAATATAGGTATACAAAATACAAATATAAATATACTTTAAATCTTTTTATAAAATATTGTCTACAATATACTTTAATATAATTGGTATAAATTTAAATGATAATATATACATTGTAATTTTGCTAATTTTTTAATCAATTTGTTTTTTTAATGAGAAGTATGAAATTTATGTTTTTTTGCTAATATTCGATCGAATTGAGGTTATATGTTGCTAGTTCCAATTTTCAAAATTGACTCCAAGTGTTTGTCCGTTATGGCCGATCTATATTTCATTTTGGAAAAAGTTTATTCGCACAAATAAGTCGTAGCAAATGCAGATATATATTCAATAGCAATTTTTTTTTAAATTTGGATACTGTATATCTGGGAGAAATTTATAAAAATCAACTTAAGTCTCTTCACGATGTTTGATTTTCAGTGCATCATTACTTTGTAAATCAATCATTTCCATTTGAAGGGTAGGAGGTAACTTCTCAACATCATAACTAAACGGGTTTTGAAAAATATTTATTTCTTCCGATTTTACGTCAAGGTCAGAAACACGTTGTTTAAATTGGATTTTAAGTTCAAAAATTATTTTTTGAGGGAAGTCGACTGGAAATTGTGTTTTTGATTCTTTGTTATATTTATCACAAGTAGAAAAATAAATAAAACAATTTTTTGAAATTTGTGTTTCAAATAAAATAAGTTTTTGCTTAAATGCTTTTACTAATGTGTAAACATCGCAAATAAGAACATCTTTACCTTGTAATTTTAGATTGGATTCGTTCATATATTTTGTGATATCCACTAAAAAATCTAATTTCCAAATCCATTCCCTATCTGTAAGTAAAGGCAATGGTCGATTCTTATCAATTAGAAATATTTCAATTTCATTTCTTAGTTCAAAAAATCGCGATAGGACTATATCTTTAGATATCTATATTTTATTTACCATCCTATATGGGCGCTGCGGGCCGGTTAAAACTTGTTCGAGACCCCTGGCCTATAGAATAAAAACAGTACTATGTATTAATTTTCGACAAAAACATTCAACTGTTTACTTATAATAGTACAAACTGAATGCATATTTCTATCACGAATGAAAAATAATTACAATTTTATAAACAAAAACCATACAAATTAATATTCATAATAAAGGTGCATCAACATATCCTAAAAAAAATGATACAAAAAAACATTATATATATAGTTGCATATAGTAAATAACTCATTTAGGAAAACAAATTCTAAAAATTTGATTACAGTGGCCTCCACTTAGCTAAATTTGGTTCTGCATATATAAATATTGAATATTAAAAAATATATAAAAATTTATATAAATATAAAACACTCATAACTTTAAAAAGTGATAAACGATGATATTACTATAAAGTATTGTAGATATAGGTACTACTAGAAATCATAATATTAATACCAAAGAAACAAATCAGATTTAGTAAGCTAACTATAATTGTGTAAAATTAACTTAAGTGCAAAAATCATTGAAATAAGATCCGAGGGGATGATTTTAGCCTCCTTAATTTCCACTACTTAGAACTTACATAGTTGTATCCACCATTGTACAATTAAATATATTGCTATGCACATAACACAATAACGCGTATGTGACTTGGTGAGGAGCGGTCGTATGCTCAATCTGCTGAAACGCTCTGAGCGTAAGTACCGGTCATCACTCATCATTGCTAGCTCTCGGGTGGGTGACCACCCTGCATTTTTAGTAACAAAATCCTTGCCATACATACGTGTTCCAACCAACAGTTCCCTTTTACAAACAGTTA